GAAGCATCACGGTGGAAGGGCATGGTATAGGAGAACTGCTCACCTCACGGTGGTCAGGAAACAAACATTAAGGGACCAGGGAAAAAAATATGCCTTCAAGGTGGGGTATGGTGACTCATGCCTTTAAATCCAGCACTTGGGAGGCAGTGGCAGGTAGACCTCTGTGGATTGAGACCAACCTGGTCTACATAGTGAGTTCCAGGCCAGCTGGTGCTACAGGGAGACCCCGTTTCAAAAAAAATGTGTCTTCAACCTGGCCCCATTTCCTAATATCACATACAGCTAATGGATTATCCCATCGATGAAGTTAGCACCTTTGTAAACCAATTCCTCTCAGTAATGTCATCATGATGGAGACCAAGCCTAATATAAAGCTTCCTAAGGAAGTGTTTCAAATCCAGATCATAATCCTACTCTTCCTGGATTCATTAAATCATGATTGTGATGGAAGTGGGCCAAACTGTTCCTATGAGCCCACTCCCATTAGTGGCTAGAACAAGGTCTAAGGTCAGTCAGGACTGGTTAGTGACAAAATGTTGTGAGACATGGTTTTCTACCATGTGAGAGAACTAGTTAGTGTGCAGAGGGACAATTCAGACCCTCCTGCCATCCTCCAAAATCTCTCTTTTGCTTAACTTATTTTGAGTTTGATTGCCCCCAAAGCATAAAAAAATTCTGTTAGCTGATTCATCTGTAAGATGGGGAAAATAGTGGGATGGGATGTAAACGATACTTTTATTATGGATATTGAAGAAGAGGACATGTGTAAGGTTCTTAGGGCAGACACCTTAAGGAAATGTTCCAGTTAGAGGAAATGCTTCAGGGCCAGGCATAGGGCTGGTACTCAAGAAATGGCCTATCATAGAGACTGAATTCTTGGTTCAAATCTGGACAACTGTGACCTCTGAGCATCGATCCAAATGTAAAACTGTATATCCTCAGTTCAATCCATGACTCCCCCGCACATAGCAGAGCCACTCACTCCATAGAACCAAGATCAATTTGACCAAATCTGCGCCTAGTCTTAACGACTTACTGAGGGCTGTGTTACTGAGGTTAGAATGTATCACCCACAAGTTCATGAATTAGAACCTTAATTTTCAATGCAGTATACTGGGCTGTGTGGGAGGAATCAGGAGGACTTTGCCCATGGATTGAGGCAGGAAAGCTTTGTCCAGATTCTGTCTCCATGAACTTGGACTTTCTAGCTCTGGAATCACAAGCCAAATCAACCTATTTTCTTTATAATTTTCCATCTGTGGTATTTTCTTGTAGCAACATCAAAGCAATAAGAGATCAAAAGGACCCCTAACTCTGAGAGGTGAATTTGGAGCTGAATTCTCCTCTGGCCTTTTTTTGGAATAACTTGGTCTAAGTCCATTTGCCAGAAACTCTACATGTGTCTAGGTGTTGGATTTTTATGACTTTTGAATTCCTAAAAATTCCCACATCCCACTTCATTGCAGATGCCCCATTACCTACTATTTCATACTGACTTCCCACACATCTAAATCATGTATCGTATGTGAAGTGCTCAAATGACCGGAGCCTGGCATTGCTTTAGATGGAGTTTGCTCATAGTTCAACTCAATGCATATTGATCAAACTCTTAGTGTGTAAGCCTAGAGCCAGTCATGCTGTCCACCCCTCCAGCAGCCTTATGATGTGACCCTTATGACACTGACAACAAGCTAATCAGTGGAGGAGGTCCATTCCTGAGCTGCATCATGAATTAGGCTGTGGATGCCTGTCAGTGAAGAAACATAACAGTGGGACACCCTTGCCCAGAAAGAAGAATAGACACCGTACCTATTACCAGAGCTGTGGGCTCATGATTGGAGCTGGAAATGACTGCTTTCATAGAATCATAGTAGTTTAGCTGCAAACAAAGAGTGAGAAAATGCTAATTATTAAGAAGATCACCCACCAGGTCAAGTACCAGTTTGTAACAGTATTTATAGCTTTCCTTCCAAAGATCTCAGGATGGAGAAGGGAGCCTCTTTTCCAAGAATAGGAGCACTAAAAAAATAACCAAACAAACCATTTTTGTTGTCAGACACTTTGGTGGCTTGGTGTAGTGCTCAGCAGTTTCCTCCCTTCACATGGAGTCTGATGCCCAAACAAACAATTCCTGGGCATTGAGACCCCGAGGCAGCTTCTATTTCTCAGTTCATCATGTTCTAAGAAAATCTGAATGCTGTAGGCAGTTTACAGAGAAAACATTTATCTTTCCCTGGAAATCATCTTTATATTTATAATCATCCCTGGAAGGGATGCTGAGCATCATACTGGAAGAGTGAGACCCTTTTCTCTTCATTTTCCCCCCAATTTTGAAGATTGAGAGCTAGATCTTGAATGAATGTGTGACAGTTGGGCATCCAGGGCCTTTGGGCAGGGCTCTGATGGGGGAGCCAAACTCAGATGCCAGAAACCAGATTTAGTAGGGTCTGATTTCTCTTTTCTGGCCACCTTCTTCTCCAGTGGAAGCCTTTAGCCTTAAGTTATGAATTGGATCAAGCCATGATTATATTAGAAGAGCAAAGGCAAGCTGCAAGATTAATAGGCTTTTAAAAAATTATTTTTATGTGTATGAGTGTATTTATTGCCTGCATGAATGTGAGTGCAACCATGTCATACAATGCCCACAGAGGTCAGAAGAGGGCGTTAGAATTATGGATGGTTGTAAGCCGGTGTGTTTGGTGTTACGATTTGAACCCAGGTCCTCTGCAAGAATGTCAGTGCTCTTAACCACTGATCCATCCCTCTAGCCCATAATAGGCTTTAAAAATTTCATTTAGTAGTTGTAAGCAGGATGCAAAACCCATGGAAATCTCAAGGACTCAGTCCTATATACACAATCCCACTATGAGTCCTAAAACACTCTGATCATGTGAGTTGCTTTTAGGCCTACGAGAGGAAGGGAAGCACATCTACTGTCTTCAGAGCCCAAGACACTGGGCAAGGACCATTCTCACCAGGCTTCAGACCTGAGGACACCAGGCAAGGCCCAATCCCACCAGGAGATTCACATGGGCTGTTTTCACTGGCTTCCTACACCACCAGCCAATTATCATTCTTGTACCATTCTGTGAATGTTACCTAACATTTATTTATCTTGTTTTCAGCTAGGCTTGCAAAGTTGACTGAGAAGCAGTGGTGACTTATTAAGCAATATGGATGATTCTTATCTGATGGTTCAAGTTGTATACCCTAGAGAGGAGAGGGCAGCCTGCAAGAGGTAGCTTACCTCTTGCGTTTTTGTTTGTTTTTTACCTGAGTGACCCAATCTCCATGCACTTTCCAGCGGATGAACTTTCCATTTGGAGTAGTCATGGCATTGTGAATGGCAACACTTGGCATGTTCTCAACTTGGGGCATTTTCTTCCAAGTTCTAAAGAGAACGTAAAACTCTCAAAATGATAAAAACAACCAACCCTCCCACATCCTGTTCCCTTCCAGTCAGGAACCTTGCCTGTGGTGGTGATCTTTTGGTTGTTCAAGAGTGCTGCACTCCCTCCCCAGTTGGCTTGCATTGATCCTTTTCACCAAGCCCTCCCAAGCTGTCCATGGGGACCTCTCTGAATGAGCCACACCAGTTGAGCTCTAGCTTTTCTGGATTCCAGAAAAGCTGAGCCACAGTTAACATAGCAGCTCTACTTTTCTTGTGAGATGTTTGTGCAACCCAAAGGTAAAGGTGCTCTTTTTGAGCCCCATGAGCTTCCATAGGGAGCAAAGACTTAAAAAAATCCTCACTGGGGGAACACTATTATCCCCTTTCGTAGAATGAGGAAATAAAGGCATAAAAGATGAAAAACATGCTAATGTTAGTGAATAGTAGTTAGTTCCAACTTCAGCAGCCTGGATTTCAGCATAAAATATTCTTAATGCCTGTCCACAATAATGTTCAAAGTTGTCCTATGGTCCACCAAGTCTCAGAACTGCTTTTCAAATAAAATATTCCAGTACCTGGAATGGCCATACACCACTGAAGCCCATGGACTAATGCTTTTACACTGCCGGTCATCATGGTAGTGCCCTGGTGTTCCCCAAGTAGGTCCAATATCAAATAATTCCTCCCGTACAGGTCAATAGCCCCTTTCTGAAATGCTTGAAGCATGAATGTTTCTATTTTATACTTTCCCATATTTTGAATATTTGCATATATATATGATATCTTGGGGATGGGACTTACTAAATGTGAAGTTCATTTGTGTTTCCTACACATCATATACACATGCCTGATGGTACTGATGGTAATTTTATGCATTGCTGCCAATGCATCAGCATTTGGCAACAGTCTGTCATTTGATTTCAGATGTGAAATTTGCCACTTGTAACATCACATCAGCTCTCGACTGCTTTGAAATTTGGAACATTTCAGATTTTGAAAATTTAGATTAGGGATGTGCAACCTATAGTTATTTTTCCACTTCATTAGGCATATCATAAAGTGTTCATCCTCTGTCTTTTTTTTTCCTTCACTGTTCAAGGTTTATTTGGTGTTTTAGTTAGCATGACACTTGGTAGCTGATTGCATTATCCATATGCAGATTTTACTTTTTACATTCTATTGCAATGTACATTGATACATTAAATAATACACAAAATAAGATCCTTTAGAACAGTTCTGCATAAGACATGCTGTAATGGATTTATACACTGGATCCCAGGATGTGACTAATTGGAAAACACTTGACTAGGCATGTTTGGTGAAGTCAGATAGCACACAGTAAAACATCTGGTTTACAGGGAAGTGGATCTTATACAAATTGGCAGTGGTGTCTCAGATGGCAGAACTTTTTCACACTAACCAGTTTAGAACTATACAAGTACCATTTAGCATCAGGATATAGCTGTGGTCGGGGTTCTACCTTTAGGAACTCAATGTTTTCCTACACCTTCTTAATACAACCTCATTAATCACAGCTCAGGTGAAAAGGAAAACATGTACTGTCTCTAGCAGAAAGCCGGCTGCAGCCTGGACAGTGGAGGCTGTGATGTCAGGAGACTAAAACTGCAGCTCCTTCTGGATTCTTCTTCAGGTGGGCCCCCTCTTCTGGAGTCAGTCAACTTCACCACGTCTGAGATCCCGTTCTGTCGCAGGACACAGGGCACACTGAGGAAGACCTCATCCTTTATTTCATAGAGACCATTAATCATGGTGGAAATTGGGTGCACCGGCCTAAGATTCTTCATTATGCGCTCCACCAGATCTGCCACAGAGAGTCCAATGGCACAGGAAGTATAACCTTTCAGTTTGACCACCTCATAGTCACTGTCAACCACCTGTTTGTGAACATCCTTCCACTGTTCCTTATCTGCATCGGTGCCCAGTTCTGGATTCAGAGTCTTCGGGGTGACGCCAGCGATGTTCATGCCGCTCCACACGAGCACACTCGAGTCTTCGTGCTCCCTGAGGACCCATCCGTGACAGCTCAGTGGGTGAACACCCAGCCTTTCTCCCATCAGGTAACGGAACCGGGCTGAATCCAGATTGCAACCACTTCCAATAACTCGGTTTTGGGAAAGCCACTTATCTTCCAAGGCACATAGGTCAAGATATCCACTGGATTTGAAACGACAAGCAACTTGCAGTTGGGACTGTACTTCACAACATTAGGGATGATGAACTTGAAGATGTTCACATTAGGCTGGACCAAATTGAGACGACTCTGCCCCTCCTGCTGCCGCGCCCCAGCTTGGAATTGGCAGTCGCACTGTAGTCTTTGCCAGAGACAATTTTTGGTGTTTTAAGGAAGAGGTTGCCATGCTGGAGATCCATCATCTCACCCTTCAGTTTGTCCTCCATGACATCAAGCGCAAGTTCATCTGCCAAGTCCTTCATTAAGATAATGATAGCACAGGCTATGCCGACAGCACCAACCCCAACCACTGTAATCTTGTTCTGGGGGGTCTGTTCTTCCATAAGAAGGTTCACAATCAGCTGATCCCTGAGGCTTGCCATCCTGGACTTGGAACCAAAAGGGACCCGGAGTGGACGATGGGCGGTGTCGGGGCACGCGGCAGCGGGCAGCCAGGTTCGGACTCAGCGACAGCGGCTCCAGTACACTGAGCCCCGAGCGGGAGCCCTCTGTCCTTTTTAATTAATTATTCACACGAGAGTTTACTTCTTTCATTAAATTATTAAGTGGTTTTGACTACTTCTCAAGTATTAAGTTTATATGTTTCTACCCCCTGAGAAGTTATCTCTAGAGAATCTTCTGAGACTCTGCATTTCCAACATGCTCCCAAGCGATGTCCGGGCTGTGTCCATGGTTAAAAGCACAGGTTTAGGGGAAAAGTCTGGTTGCAGGTTGTGACCTTCCATTCTGAGGCACATTTAATTTTGTGGAGGAGATTTTGGAAACAGAAAATGGATCAGAAAAAAAAAAAAACCTAGCCAAACTTAGAGGCTTGATGAGATTAAGGAAATGGTGATGCTGATCAGAGATCAAAGTTAATTGTTTTGAAATGTGTGTTCATATTTCAAGAGTTAATCTCTAAGAAACATCTTTAAATTCTTTGAAATTACTGCTTGGAAAGGTAGAATGAATGTTTTTGCATGAATTGACAGACACAAAGTCTCCAAAGTCAGGACTTCACTGCAACATAATTTCCCATTCTGATGATAATGTCTGTATTATCTATCAATATTTTCTTAATTTTCAATAAGATATTCTCTCTCTCTCTCTCTCTCTCTCTGAATATTGGGGATAGAACCCAGGGCTTTGTCCATGCTAAGTAAGTGCTGCTTGACTGAGTATGATGGTTAGTTAGTTTTAATTGTCAACTTGACACAATCCAGAATCATCTGAGAAGAGAGTTGCAGTGAGGGACTCTCTACATCAGGTTGATCTGTGGACGTGTCTATAGGGAATTACCTTGATTCTGTTAATTGATGTGGGAAGATCCAGCCTAAAGATGGGTGATACCATTTCATTAGCTGGACCCTGGTTGTATAAGAGTGGAGAGTGAACTGAGTACAAGCAAGTGTACATGCATGCACGCTCTTTTGCTCTTGACTGGTTGTGACTAGTTGCTTCAAGTTCCTGCTGCCTTGACTTCCTTGCAGTGATGAACTGTTTGCTGGACTTCTGAGCTAAAATAAACCCTTTCTTTCCTAAGTTGATTTTATCAGAGTGTTTTATCACAGTAACAGAAAACAGAAAACAAACAGACACTGAGCTTTACTCCCAGTCCCTTTGCAATTTATTTTTTAACTTCTTTCAGGTATGAAGTGGGTAACCTTTCCAGGATTTAAGATAAATGCTGCTGTCTTTTGATGGAATCAATGGGGGAGATTTAGAAATTTCTCCCAGTGTTTTTATGTACTGTGATAGTGATCTGGAGAGATTTGAACAATCCTTCTCCATGGTGGGAACTTAATGAATTTGAGTACATCTGTGTCATCAGCCAAGCATTCAATTTGAACATGATCCTTCAGCTTGTCAAAAGTTAATGTAACATTCTCCAAGCACAAGCATGAATCCCTGAGGATGTAGACTGGAGGAGACTGTCACTATACCTGGGACCTCAAGTCCCCATCCCTTCCCAGGAACCCCTATGATGTCCTGTCAAAGTTGCTCTGTGTGGGCCCTGTGCACCATGTCTGAGAACCCATTTCCATATCCCACAAGGGTGTGGGCATCTAGAAACCTGCTCCATGGCTGGGGAAGGACTAATGATGTGTAACACAGTGTGAATACTTGTGTTACATATTCTTTCCTTTTTATGTTTAAGTATATGTGAATGATATGCATGTGCTAGGGAAAGGGCCTGATCATTTTTGGGCAAGGCTCTAACCTTCATTCTTGTTTACCCAAATGCAACGGAATGATTTTATGGCTTGTCCTGCTGGGACTCATCAGCAGGACAAGGATTCCTAGAACCATTGTTACCAGTATTCTTCTAGTTCCCTGCTCCCACCACAAGCTATACTTGTATTACATTGTTTAAGCAAGTGAAAGATAACCTGGACTGAATGCCAGGGGGTAAACTCCACCAGGGGTTGGGAGTGGTAAGCTGTAGTACCCCACCAACATTCTGATCTAGGACTTGCATGGACATATACAATACTAATAACTAATTTCTTGATGATACAATGCTGAGATGGCTGATCTGCTTGATATCAGCATTTCAAATTCTTTTACCCAAATAGGAGGAGAATTTTTAGAAAAAGAATAAAATTTAGAAATGATGAAAGCTCTAGATTTAGGTTGTAAGCATCTTTTTGTAAGTGAAGGCTGAGGAATGTGTGGCTTGCCAGTGAGCAGGCCTTGGGGTCTGTGGAATTCCTAGTGTTGTTCAGTGAGGAACACTCAGCACTGTGGAGAAGAGAACATCAGAATGAAGCCCAGGAATGAAATCATAGGAAGGACAGTGGGGAAAACTAGAAATACTAATAGTGTAGAAAGAAAGACGACAATTGTAACAAACACTTGAAGACTCCAGCTTTTGAGGAAAATGTGTTTTGTTTCTTTTTCATTTCCTTTTATTTTTTAAACATTTTTAGTTCTTTGAACTTATATCCATTTACTACAATCTTAAGAAGCTTGCCTCAGTAGGGCTTGGTGGCACAGACCTAGAATCGTAGCTGTTCAGGAGGCTGAGGTAGGAAGACTGAAAGTTCAAGACCTGCTTGGGCTATAGATTCAGTACAAGGCCAGCCTGGAAAACTTAGTGAGATACTGACTCAAAAAGTAAAAGAGGCTGAGGGTGTAACTCAGTGGTTGAGTGCTTGCTCAGCATGCACAAGATCCCAGGTTCAAACTCTAGTACCTCAAAAAGAAAAAACTTGACTTATCCCCCATTTCCATCCCCAGAGGCCTTGCTATCTTCTGCCTTCAAATGATTGATTGTTAAGTGTTTACTCCATGTCTTTGGAGCATGTGTTTGCCCTGACTGTTCTTGATTTCTCAGTGGATGGTGTTAAGTTTAGACTCTGCTTTTGTTTGATTTCTGTGTACTTAGCCTCTTCACCAGCCTCTAAAGCTCCTCCCCAGTCAGTCAGTCACATAAAATATTCATTCCACTGAGCCATTTTCTGAAGTGCTCCCACAAGCCTGGAACGCAGCTGTCACCTTGGGTCCTCCATGGATGCTCTGGGGTGCCAACTCTTCTCCCTTCTTGCATCTCCTGCTTCCTATGGTCTCTCTCTCTCTCTCTCTCCCCTTCTCTCTCTCCCTCTCTCGCTCCCTTTCTTCCTTCCTTTTTTATCTTTGTGTGTATAAAGGATATGTGTGTGCATGAATACAAGTGCATGTGTGCCAAAACGTGCATGTAGAGGCAGAGTACAGCCTTGGACACAGTCCTCGTCCTCTTCCTTGTTTGAGACAGGGTCTCTTGTTGCTTACTGCTGTGCATGCTGGGTCCAGGGATTCTCCTCGCATTTTGCTGTAGGAGTTCTTGGGATTGCAGGTGTGTGCTATCACATCTGGCTTCATGCGGGTTCTGGGGATCCAAGCTCAGGTCATCACACTTGAGTGGCAAGTGCTTGCCCTCTGAGCAATCTTCCCAGCCCTCCTCTGTCACTTTCTAGAGAGAATCCTGCAGTGGCTCTTGGGAGGTATGATTTTGAAATTGTCGATCTTTGTAAATACTTTATTCTACCCCTACACTTCAAGAATAGTTTGAGTATAGAATTGGCGGTGATTTTTTCAGATTCTTGAGATTGCTTCACTGCCTTTTAGCTTTCAGGTATGCTGTGGAGAAGACCAAATCCATTAGGATTCCTAATGTAACATTCTTTTTACACTTGTGTGTGTGTGTGTGTGTGTGTGTGTGTGTGTGTTTGTGTGTGTACGGCACATAAGCCATGACACATATGTAGAGGTCAGAGGACAACTTGCGAGAGTCAGTTCTTTCCTTTCATCAAGTGGGTCTCAGGGATTGAACTCAGGTCATCAGTCTTGTCAGCAATGCCTTTACCCATGGAGTCATCCCACGGAGATTAGGATGGCCAAAGTTTGTAATCTCTTCTGGGTATGGTTATCACATTTTGAAGGAATCACCTTGTGAGAAAGGAACTGTCTCTTCCTAAAAGGATCAAGTCAATTTGGAATAGTCACCTTAAGGATATGACAGAGAGGACTTTACCTAGACTGAATGCCTACCTGAGACTTTTCCCCTTTAAAAGGTTTTGTATCTATTATTTAAACCTCTGAGTATATGATTCTTATTCCAAGCTTGAAGTAATAATGTTCAAGTCCAGATATCTCTAAGGAAATGTGCTCTTGTTTGTTTATTTTCCCATATAGCTTATTGAGTATTTTTGTGGAACAAAGTCTTGATGAAGAAATGACACCTTCAGAGAGTGTTTGCCTCTGAGTTTGGTCATCAAAGAGCTGACAAGAAGCCAGCCTCTCATTGTCAGGATCTGCCTTCTGGAACAGTAGGAAGAGGGTAAAAAGCCTGTTCTGGGTATAACAGGTATAGGTGGTATGCTGAAACTTTTATCAATGTAAGAAAAAGCTCTAAAACTCCAACTCACCATGGACAACGTTAGAAAAAAAGGCAAAAATAGTCCTCATTTTTAGAAAGATTTCTCCTCATACTTTACCAGATACAAATCAACCACTTTCAATTGCATGATACATGTGACAGAGGTTAGAAGGGAAAGGGGTGTCCAGTGGAAATTAAGGCTACAGTATAAACTGCTAATTGAAAAGTGCATACAAAATTAAACATTTCTGAAATTATATTTGATCAATAGACAAATAAAATATCACTTACCAAATAACTTTTATCAGTTTAAAAACATCCATCATGTGCAGTTGATGAGTACCTGTGCTTACAAATAGTTCCCTGCCCAAACTCCTTCAGTAACAGAGAAGTTAATGCTATATTGTTAGGTTTGAGCATTTTATAATGCTTAACTAATTACAAACTAAAAATAAAATCCCTTGAATTCAAGATCTGATAAAAGAACTAGCATCTGCCCACCCACCATTCACCTTCCATCTTTCCTGCTGCCCTTCATAAACCATCTATTTACCTCCATCAATTTTCATCCATTTATCT